TTTCAATTTATTACAATCACAAATGAACATCCAGTGACAAGCAGTGAGCCTGATAAGTTCTAGTTTGCAAGGCTGTGCCATCCCTAATTTAAGTCAAATATTGTCAGGAAGTCACTCACCAACACAACAAGAACAGCTAATTCATCATTATAATAAACACAGGATGCACCACATTGTTTCTTGAATTCTCGATGTGTCCCTTCATCTTTACAGCTATGAATAAAAGTTACAAGTAATGATGTCATAATCTTCTCCAACCCACATTTAATAGTTAGAAAATAGCCATATGAAAATATACATGCTGATTGGTTTAAAATCATGTTTCGATAAATTGACAGAAACACAGAACTAGCACAAGCTGTTGACGTAGTGATGGCATGAGCAAAGAGAATTTACATTTTGATGATCAAAGTAAACAAGTTGTTTTCTTTTTCCGTCACCCAATTTTCTAAAAGAAATAGAAAATATGTTCTCCATGTTTCTACCAAGTTATAAGAACATGCGTGGAAGTTTGGGAGAACTCAAAAAAAGCAGTGGAAATACTTGCTTGTTGGCCCATGTTCCTTCAGCATTTCTCGTTCTCCCAAACTTCCACTAGTGTTTCTATAACTTGATAGAAACATGGTACATGTTTTCCATTTCTTAAACAACTGTTAAGAAACTGTACCTGGCAACAGCCAGAAATCTTACACAGTTCTGAGCCTTCATTTTCCAACCTATGTCTAGAATTCTGCCCAAAATTCCTAACGACACTTGACAAAATACCAGCCATAATGGCATGTTACATTGTGAGGTGTTAAGTCATTAGTCCAATTTACGATCCCCTCCCCCTCAAGGTTGAATAGATCAACATTAACATGTTGTTGGAGGTAGGGGATAGTGTGGGGTGGGGGGGNGATCCCCTCCCCCTCAAGGTTGAATAGATCAGCATTAACATGTTGTTGGGGGTAGGGGATAGTGTGGGGTGGGGGGGAAGTAAAGGCAAAGACCGTTTGTTCCCTTTGGCCTCAGCAAGTATCACCTTTTGGCTAGAATTATACTAGTTTACAAATGCAAATGCTGCCATCTCAATGGCTGAGCAATGGTTCACTATCAACCACTAGTGTACAGATTCTGGAGGTGGTCCACATAATGGCAATGTTAACTCGTTTCTCTTAAGTTTTGGAGAAAGATTTGGAAAGATTACTTAGTAATTCAGTTTTCAAGAGGAGTTAGGAAAGGAAATTGGCAGTAATGCCACTTTAAAACCCCAAAATTGTTGTGATATTACAGTATGTACAGTATCCTAAAGTCCTTGTTGGGTTATGCAACAGTTATTAATTATTACACATATTGATGTAAACTGAATAGAACCAGTATCCTACATACAGTTGTCTCAAATCTTGTGGCACATCAATCATGACCTTGTGGTACATATTCCTGGAAATTGGCCCACTGAAAAAAAAACAGCAAATAATTTTATTATCAACAATAATTTATCAATGAATAAAATAACATTACTATTAACAACAGTACAATCCATCTAAATTGGCCATTTTGCAGATGAGTACTCAGTAACCTGGCCTATGAATGAAAGCAAGACTGAAGGTGACCTTGCTTTGACACAGACCTCTCTGCTTTTCTCATTTAAATGCCAACTAGTTAGCATAAGAACAACTTGATTTATGCAACAAACGCAGTGAGGTCTGTATCAAAACAAGGTCACCTGCATCTTCGCTGCCATTTAAAGGTATGGTCACTGAGCAGACAACTATAAAATTGCCTAATGGACACACTGCATTTGCAAAACAAAATAGTATAATCATATAATTGAAGGGGTGAGTGCAAAACCATGCTAAGTGACGATTTGGGCGAAAAAATAAATTTTCGCGAAAGGGCTTGAAGTTTTGCATGTGGTCTTCAATGTAATAGAAAAACGTGGCTCTGTATTTTTATCACTGGTTTTTGCTTTGTTTTCGAGTTATAACATATGCAAAAATACTTGGCTTTTCCTAGCCGTGTCTTTAGGAGTTTATTTGTTGAACAGCAAACAGGCAGACTGTTTATAGTGTATGAAGCCAAAATCAAATATCACAGCATATATAGAGCGGAAATCTGGGAACAGATTGTTTACATTGGTTATTGTGACGTAAACACAACACGTGAATCGATCAAGCGTCAAACGAAATACATTGAACAAAAAAGAGATGTGCCACATTAGAGCTCTGTCAACTAATATCTTAAGCATTGTTTTAAAGTACCTTGCATACCTGCCTGGTGGTTGAGAGGCATCATAAAGTCTCAATAAACCCGTAAGTCATCAGCACGATTTAAAGAATCAAAATGTGTTCTGAAACTTCGAAGGCAGCTGATATACTGTAATCGTATTATCGGTATTTGAAGTCAGATCGAGCCAGGCAGCAAAGTCCAAGAGCAGTTCTTGCCCAAGAAAAATACCCTCTGGTGAGTCATGGCCCAATTCCCAAGCATTGCTAGCGTCAAAGTTTGGAAAGCGAGAACT